TGTGGAACCGGGGATTGAACTCAGGCCCTTGCACTTGCCAGGGAAGCACTTATTCCACTGAGCCATCTACCCGGCCCCTGTCATGCCTATCCTTTTAGGGATATTCTCTCATTTTTTTTTTTTTTTTTTTTTTTACTTTCTACACAAACCCTTTCAAATCTTACTTTCCAGCCTAAATAAAATACTTTAGACCTCATTCTTTTGTTTAAGATTGCCAGCATCTGATAGAACAGTCATGAAATTGTAATGCCCAAGCCAAAATGTCTCGATTCTCTATCCTATGATTTTTAGGAAGCCCAATCTTCTGCCAGGTTTTCTCCAATTCAAGGTGAAGAGCATGATTTTGGAGTGTCCACTCCTGATGTTCTGTTTGTATTACACACACACACACACACACACACACACACACACACACACTCCTCAGAAAGTGTTGCATAGGATAATTCTATACCAGCTGAGTGCTGATCCAGTTCTGTCCTTTCCTTGAAGTTCTCCAGAGTAACCGCAGAACTGGCTAGGTGTCTTAGTTAAGTTTTCTCGTTGCTAAAACAAAATACTGGACACCCTAAGTTAAAGGGTAAAAGATTCATTTAGCTCACAGTTCATAGAGATTTCAACCCATAAATCAGCTGGCTCCAAGACAGGGTGGCACACGGCAGAGGGCAACAGTTCATGATGGTGGAAGACAACAAAAGCCACAAGAGAGAAGAACAGAGACAGAGAAGGAGAGAGGGAGGACAAGCCTCTTTCTGTCCCTTATACTGTATGCAGGCTACTCACCCTAGGGCAGTGTAGCACTCACCCCCTTAATCCCAACATTGAACCATGAATCAATCATAAACTCTAGAGTCAACTACCTCTGAGAAGTCCTCCCTCACTATGAATTCAATAGGCACTGGGGGAACATCTAGATTCAAAGCATAACATTGGGGTAACCTGGGCTTTGATAACTGATCTGCTCATGTGTTCCAGGATTTTATAATTAACAGGTCAGGTGTATTTCCACAGCCAGATTTTCCAAGCCTTAATCTCCTATCATTTGTGAGAGACACAAATCCCTACAATTCTTCATGGAGTACTGAGGAAGTAGGGGTCTCTGTCTTCTATAGTTTCTTCAGATTGAAAGGGTTGTAGGCCCTATCTACTGGGGAATATGTACTCTTCAACTACCTTGGGTTGCTGTGGCATTGTTGGGTTGAAGAATGGAAAACCTGCTAGAAAACATGAGGAAAGAATTGAAAACTGTTTAGCTTCACTACCAGCCCAAATATGAGAAGCAGGTCAGACTTCCAGGCTTCCCATAGCAGCACTGCAGTCTTGCTTTTTGAAAAGAAAGCTCAAGTCATCCAGAGTCTCACGGGAGTAGCTTTCTCACTGTGGATGATCCTGTTCTTCAGGTCATTCACATGAGACTGGCTTTATTCTAGAGTTGCAGCCTGACAGCAAATTTTGCTGGCACACAAAGAGGCAATCAACCAGATCTGGGCTATCACCATAGCAATGTCCAAGGTGTCAGTCAGGCTACAACACCCAACCCATCCACCCACTCCCAGTGGTGTGAGAGAGGAGAGAGATGTGCCCATGGAGTGGAATAGAGTCAGCCACACAAGGGCTGGGAAAGGCCAACTGAACGGGGTACTTCAAGGAGCCCAGGGCTATCTTTGTCTCAGAGTGCCACAGCAACTGGGAAAGTGATGAGGAGACATACAGGGTAAGGGGACATGGATGGGCCACCAAAGGACATCCAGAGAGTTGCTGGCTAAAGACTTTGGCCCTTTCCCACATTCAGAGGCCAAGAGGAGCTCTGCATCCAGCAGCAACCTTACCGCAGTACTTGAGAGGTTACCCAGTTTCACACAACCACGTAACAGTAGACACCAGGGGAACTTTATTGGTTTTTCTGTCTTTTTCAGGGGGAGGGGGTAGATTTTTATTTTTGTTATTTATTTTTGTTTTGCTCATCTTTATTCCTTCCCTTTCTTGGCTACTCTTTTTGACATTTTGATGTGAGGGAATATTGTCACTAGTTTTTCTGGTTTGCTTTAATATTCTTTTGCTTTTTCCTTCTTTTCTGTCTTCTCAAGTTTTCCAAAGCTTGGATAATTATCCTCTGTCCTTCAGCCTTACATCTACTATATTTCTCTCTCTCTCTCTCTCTCTCTCTCTCTCTCTCTCTCTCTCTCTATTTTAGGGAAGGGTCTACAGGGTGTTCAGGGTCTCACTATTAGATTGGACTTGTAGTGATCCACCTCTTTACAGCCTCCCAAGAGCTGGGATTACAGGCACACACTACCACACCCAGTCTGAATTACCATCTCAGTGTGCCCTGGGGGCGGGGCCAGCACTGCAGGCCCTGGGGATTGAACCCCCTGCCCCTGTGCCTGTTTGTAAGCACTTTAATCCACTGAACTATTTGGCCAGTCCAAAAAGTTGAGAAGGATCCCCCACACACACACCCCCCACAACCCCGGGCTGTCTCAATCTGCCTTAAGGGCAGGTCTGGTGAGGTATGTGGAGCTGGGGATCAAATGCCTGACTGCATTTGCATAAGTAGGTACTTAAACAACTGAGCCAATAGGCAGGCCTCCTAGATTTCTCTTCAATTGTTTCTCTAATCCTTCTTAAATCCACCACCATCACATTAGGGTAAAATCTCTGTATTAATGGAAAACACACTGAATACAAATCTCTGGTTTATTTAACTGTAGATCTCATGCTATGGTGAAAGGTATCAAATTAGTAGTCACCATACTTTGTCAGCTTCTAGGCTGTGCTTAATAATATTGTTATTGTTATCTTTTTCTTTTCTTTTTTTTTTTCTTTCTTTTTTTTTTTTTTTTT